CCGCCGCCCGGAGCCAGCACGGAGCCGTCGCCGCCCTCCCCCGGAGCCCGGCCTCACCCCGCGGCTGCCAGCGAGGGACACGCGACCCCGGCCCAGCCCGAGCAGAGCTGCGGTCCCTGCACCGTCGGGACAACCCCACACCCTGAGCGAGAGCCCGCGGAAGGAGCAGCAGAGCACGGTGTTTAAATAAGCATTTAATTAGGATTCCATTAGTATTAATATTGCTTTCAATTCAAAAAAAAAAAAAGTTAATTTCCACTTCTTTGCAGAGATTTCAAAGTACAATATTAACTTCATACAAAATGAGCAATTAAGCAAACACCATTATTTCACATTTTACATTCTTCAAAAAAATACAAATTCATATTTACTCTTGGTTTGGGTTTTGGAGATGCTCTTCCTTTGGAAGTACTGTACCTGTACCTAACATCTTCACATTGCTCAATGTAAGCACATTTGTTCCCATGTTTCATAGTTAAATAAACTCCTTTAATCCCACACACACATTCTTGGAAAACCGGATTGTTTTTTTCTCTGTCATCTCCAAGACCGGGCCCCGCTCTGCGCGTGCGGCGAGTGACCGACGAGCTACGTTGTCCCCTGGCCTCCGAGCGGCGCGAGGGTGACACGGGGCCCCGGACCAACAGCTTCGGCTTCGGGCGCGAGAGGAAGGACACAAAAGCCACACAGCAGAAATACCAGCTATGGTAACTATGGTTCTGCAAAACACACCCTTGATTTTGCTGAAAAAGATCGTATGAAAAAAATTTCTTGTAAGAAAAAGTAGAAACTGCGTTTGAGAAAGTGTACACTGCATAACGAACCAAATTTTGGCCAGCTTGCACACCACGAAAAGCATGGTGTGGGATTTTTAAACTAGTTCCAGCAACACACGCACTCGGACTATGTACACTATGACATAAATATCCAGTTTCATTTGCATTTCTCAGTGCAGACACAGCATCCAACTTCTAGGACGGATGGGGGCTATGAAGACAAGACGCAAAAAAGTTAAAAGTTCAGCCCTGTCCAGGAGGATCCACTACAGGTAACATTTCTAAAAAACTGGACGTTGTTTCCAAAATATATTCAGGAGGAAAAAGGATATCAATTAAAAACTATGCAATCTGAAAGTTGCAGGGTTTACTAAGGACATGCTTTTTTTTTTTTTGCCTTACAGTCCCCATCGGCTCTCGACAGTTGTGCCCAGCTCTAAGTGCATAGGACTGTCCACCCGCAGCTCCCGGAGCCCTGCGAGGTGGCACCGGAGCCCTGCGAGGTGGCACCGTGCCCAGCGGGGTGGCAGCGCCGGCTGCGCCCTCGTATCCCCCGTCGGAGAAGGGCTCGGGGCCCCCGTCGCCGCCTCCGCTCCGGCTCCGCGGCCCCGGTTGCGGTCGCACAGTTCTGTAAACAGTCCAACACCGGCGCCGCGGTTGCACAAACAACGCGTGGGGCGGCCGCGCGCGCCGGGCCCCGCGGTAAGGCAGATAACGACAGGGAAACGCTCCCGTGGAGACAACTCCGCAAGGTGCCAGGCGCCTGTTGGGAACAGCTCGGGGAGGGACGCGGAGCAGGGGAACGTCGTCGTCGCGGGAGCCGTTTCCATCGGAGGTGCCAAGCAGCTCACCAGAAAGCGGGAGAGAAAAGGCCGGCGAAAGCACAGTGCTCTCAGTGGAGTATTTGCATAGATTGGACATTTGCTAACGATGCATAATTTCTCGTGGGTACAGACAGGGTAGGACAATGTCACTGAGCTATTCACTCTATATATATTCAGTTAGACAGACACAGACAGACTGAGCACATGGGACAACGCTCTTTAGCTACAAGTATTGCACCAAGTTAAGTGCTCATCTTTGCACACCCCTGTTAACTTTTACTCAGAGCAAAAATAAACTTTGTGAAAGTATATACAAAAGAAATTGCAGCAATCGGGTTAAAGATAAAATAACCTAAAGTGCATTTTAGATACCAGTATGAGGTTCTGCAAACTAGCCTTTCTGGACACAGGCAGCATTACACGAAGTGCCCAATTCGTACTTTGTTCTATATAATTCAGTACCAGTGCTGATTTTCCATCCCTCTACCACAGGCAAGCAAGAAAAGCAACTTCTGCAGCCCATGGCTGCGTGGGTCACGGCTCAGCCACTAACGTTACTGATGTTGGTAATCAGACCCGCTCTACACATTTATTGTCAATATATTAAAGGTTGCGATGCAGAGGATGGATGAAAACTCCCTGGCACTGAACAACCTCAGAGCTTTCGTGACCGCCCGTCCCTGCCCGCTGCTCACAGACCTCCTCCCATTGCAGCACGTTAACGACCCCGGCAGCGCCAGTTCTGCTCACACAGCACCAGGGACGATGCCAACGGCCACCGAGAGACACAAGAGCCCACGCAGCACTGAACGCTCCCCACAGCAGACCCCTGACTACATTAAAAGGACAAAGCAGCTCACGGAAGCGACGGGCGCAGGCCCTGGGCACGCACCGGCGCATCCCTTGTGCCTCCTTACAGGCTCTTCTCGCTTTCACCCGAGTCACAGCCAGCCCACGCACGGGGACAGGGCTCCCTGCAAACCCAGCGCCGAAGCCAGGAGGGACGCGGGATACTCGGCCTTTCCTAGCACACACCAGGGGAAAAGAGCAGCCCCCAGAGCAAACAGCAGCGGGTTCCCGGCCTGCACGCGCTCGCACGACATCTCCCTGCTGCCAGGGCCTCCTGCCAAGCGAGTTCCCGATTCCAAAGCTTTTGGTAATTCCTCCTGCTCACCTCTCTCATAAAGAGGCTTCTGGAGATGTCCTCAGCCCCATCACAAGCACGTTCCAGGTGGCCTAATTCCCTGAGGAGCAAAAGGCTCCCCGGGAGGACGGGGACGCTCGGAAGCGGCCGCCTCGGCTGCCGCGTTCCGGTGCCGTCCCCGCGGCCCCGCTCGCTCCCGGGCCCCTCGCAGCCGCTGGGAGCAAGGCCACGAGCAGAGGACTCTGCGCAGACACCCCCGGCCACACACGCTCCGTTTCCCTGCGCGCAAAGCAGCTCTCGTGGCCACACAAAACAAACGCAGCACAAACCAATCCTGAGGAAAACGAGCACAAAAGCCCATTGCCCTGTCTCTTAGGAATTACAAGAGCAAAACATAAAATGCTTTGTTAATCCCCAATATATGGATGCAAGCTCCACAGCTCGCTCTGCCACAGCGGTGACACGACACCCACCAGGCGGCCTTTACGTGGCCTCTCCTCCCTCACACTCACCCTAACGGGACACACTTCTACCCTTCCACATTTAGCAACAGGAAAAAAGTTGTCAGGTGAAAAAAAAGGTCCCTTCTGCCCATTTCCACCCGTTTTTGCGACAGTTACTCGCCAGGGAATAGAAGGGGAGCTGGTTTAAGCCACTGCCTCAGCCCGGCTGGGGACAGCGGTGCGGGTAGCACGTCATGAGTTTAAAGCCTACCAGTCCTCAGGTGCACGCGCAGGACTCCTACCCCGTGGAGCAGAGAGCAGCTCTGATCCCACACGAACAGAGAGCAGGGCGACCGCCGTCCTCTAGGAGTTTGTCTTCCTAAAACGAGTGGGCAGAGACTCGCTAATGACAACACTGTAAACTGAATAAAGACTATTTAATATTCTTTTCTTTAACACAAAAAGACTGACAGCCAAAGCCAGACAGATGGATAAAACACTATAAAATTACATCTTTTAAAATAATGCAGCATAAATAAACCATTTAGAATGAGACTGCATTTATTGCAACATTACAGGCTTTTTGGTGGAAGGGGGGGGGTGTTTTATTTACCCTGAGTAGGTTAGAATATAGACTTTCAGTTTGATATGAAAAACTACTATTTTGTGTAACATCTTTTAGTCAAGAAATAGCCCCATGCACAAAAAGCTGGCATTGCAGTAGGTTGGAGGCAGATTCAGGCAGAAATTAAAAAGCTTAACAGAAAAGAGGAAGCATTCCCAGACAGCTAAAAGATAAACTCAAGGTGTGTTGAATCATTCTCAAAGGGTTCCTAGAACTCTTGACAAAAGACGAGAGTTAACCAGCAAAGGCACCATGCTCCTGATTAAACAGTCGGGATTTTTTTTTTTAATAATAATAAAAAAAAAAGAGAATAACTTCTTTCTGAACAGCCAAATGAGGCTAAAGAGCAGCAGGCACCGAGCTGACTCTGTCTGGAGCTCGCTGCGTGCTTCAGAGGCAAAGAAAACAGACTCTGCAGTCTGCATAAGCAGGGGCTCCGACTGTGTTTCTCTACTGTGAAGCAGTGTCTGCCACCACTCTTTGAAAGTCCTAATGAAAGGAATAGATCTACGAGGAGCACAAGGATTTTGTGCTGTGCCAAAGGAAACTCCCCAAAAGCTTCTGTTGGCTTTAGCAATAGTGTTAGTACCCCCAGGCACCAGCTCGCAGTGACAGGAGGACTGCACTCCAGGAAAACTGAAGACAGAACATTTTTGAGTGTAAGACCATCTTCTGCTACAGCAAACTCCTTTCCTGGGCTCCCCTTATAGTGCAGGGTTAATATCACACATAAGAGACATAAGAAAATTATAGACCTAAAGAGCTGTAACAAAGACCCACACGCTGCCAGTACCTTAATCCAAAACATAAGTGATGTGCAACTGGAGACAAACTAACCCCCCTTTTTCTCTTTAAAATCTGTTTGCACACGAGTAACCTTAACTTCTGTGTTCACATATGACAAGCAAAAGTGACAGACAGTGCAGCCAAAATAGTTCATATATAACTTAGCTTTTTTTTGCCTTTTTTTTTTTTTAAAGATAGATTCTCAGAGATGGGTGTACCTGGGATGTGACTAAGATGACATCAGAGAAGCAGAAATAAGCCACAAAACTTCCCAATTGGAAGGAAAAAAAAAAAGGATCCTTCAGTTTCTGCTTCTAAGGAGGAGGATTTTACCCCCCAGGTGCAAAGGACAATCTGGAACATCTTCATTTAGAGAAGCTGCTATTCAAACCAATTTCTTCCTCACCCTGCAGTAGTGCTTCAATAGGAATTATATTAGGGGGCGTTTCAGGGCTTTGGAGGGACAGGAAGTCTGATACATCCATGGCACTTAACGTTTCAGTCTGTGAGTCTGAAGGGTTAACTGTGTGACTGCTCTGCCCACACGAAGGAGAACGGGAAGAGGAAGGAAAGGGCTGAGGTTGCAGCTGGGGAGCTGTTTGCTCAGGTGAGGAACATTCCTTCTTACTGGTGGCTTTGTCCCTGGCAGAGTCGCGGCAGGCACACTGGCACTGGCAGGCCTCCTCCTGCTTGATGATGATGACAGGAACGCTGAGACCAATTTGCTGAACAGGAGTTCCTAGGGGTGAAGCAAAGACAAGACACACATAAGAACTCCCTAATTTCACATCAGGGAAAGACAACTCATATTTGTTATAGTAGATTGTATGTGTCTTGCAGCAGAGAGTATACACTATTTTACACATATACATTTTTCATTTGTATTTTCCTGTTCACGTTCTCTAGTCTGCTTTCCTAACTCATCACTCTTACTGTGCTGCCTTTTTTCCTTTTAAGTCTTACACTCAGATGTCTTCTTTTGGCTATGATTAATTCTTATTTCCTATATGCTCTTCTGTGTAGGAAGTATGTTACAGAACAGAATTCCTACAGCTGCACATTTATATGACTCTCACCAACACCGCTTACCAAAAACTGTTATTAAAATCGCTGGTTAAATACAACAGTTTACTAGCAGTTTTATTCTTTTAAATCAAGATGCAAAAGACAAATTATATCCTTTACCTCTGCCTTCTAATCTTATATATACATTCCTCTAAGGTAGCATTTTTATAAAATACTAAATTTTATAAATACTGGATCTAATTTGTGAACTTGATTATCTTACAAAGAGAGAAACTACTATAGGATAGAACCCAGGAATACAAAAATAAATAAATAAATAAAACAAAAAACCCCACACATTTCTTCAACATTTCCTCTAACAATTACATCACCACAAATCCTGCTCAAGCAAACAGCACTGCAAACAAAAAGAGGAAGAGAGGGAAACAGTTCAGTATCAAACATGCTTACCTGTGTTGCCAGTTACTGGTAACGCAGTGGTAAAAAAAACCTTTTCTACTACTTTTGGAACTTGTGGCTTTAAAAAAGAAGGAAAAAAAAAAAGAAAAAAAAATCCATGTGAGTCAATTCAAACCAAATCTCTGCTCAAACTCTAAACAGCTGCAAGCAAAAGATACACATGCACACATTCCAAAGACAGCAGACAGGAAAACTAAGAGAAAATTGCAGCGTTTGTTTTGGTTCTGGACTATCTTATGTTCTGGCTATCCCTAAACTAAGGCTACTCTTTCAGTACTCCTAAAGATGGTGAGTGACCCCCCTTCTCCTGTATGCTTGTTAAAACAGCTCGTGTCCGAAAACTGTAAAAAAGAATTATAAATAAATAAATAAATAAAAATAAACTGCTGTTCTTGCTTATACTGTTTGTATCTCCAGTCATTCCCTCTTGGCCATTTACATGTGAGAAAACCTAAGGGAAGCAACAGTGAAGCGTTTTATCTCCCAGCACTAAGTCTACTGTATTCCCTGTCACTGGAGAAGCAGCCACATCCTGCTTTCTCAGGCAACTTTCCATTATCTTCATCAGGCTACTTAGATTTAAAAGGCAACAAGGTTAAATTAGGAAGAGACAGAGATTACAGAACGTCTAAACACTGAAAAGTTTACAGATATTTTTGTGCTTCTACTTGTAAAAATGGTAGATTTAAAAATATATGTATTTTGTCAGGCCATATGGTGGAGTGTCTGAATAAAGCAAAGTGGCATCTGCTACAAAAAGCTTGTCACTGGGGGAAAGAAGAAAACAAGATTTTGCTGCACTCGGGATTTCTTTATCTATCTATTTCTCTATGTATTTTAGGGACTGTATTTTGACTTGTTTAAACATATTTCCGTGCTAAGCATTATACAATTCTGAAGCAGATACACCCTGGTTTGCATCTTACAACTCCAGGTGAGATGCTTCTTTTCAAGAGCAAAGCCTTTAGATTCCAGGAGGAGCAGGGATGGTCTCAGCTGCTTCCCAGCAGGGCTAGATATACTAACCATTTGTTCTTGGCTTTGTGGAGAACCAGTGGCACCATTTAAAATCCATTGCAAGTTTTGCTCTCCCATGACAATGCTGGACTGCAGAATAGCGGTGCTCTGAGAGGGAGTAATTGTTATAGTTGGATTACTGGTCAGCAGAGAGTTCGCCCCAACAGGCACAGTCTGAACTACAGCTGGCAGGGGCTCGGTGGCACTTAATGCTGTTGGGGCAGGTGCCCCTGCAACCACTGAAAGCCCCTGTACAACAGGCTGCGGCGGTGTCCGAGTGTGCTGCAGAAAGTCAGGGTGACCGGCTGCAAACTGTGTGCTGTGAGGAACAGGCACTTTGGGAGATTGTAAAACAGTTGCAGAATTCCCAAACGCAGCTTGTTGCGAGCTGGTTCCTACGGAGGAGGGAGCAGCAGGGGCTGCTGAGGCTTGTAGTGCTGAGGGCGACGGCTCAGAGATGCCAAGCTGCAGTACGAGTGGAAGAGACAGGGATGCTGGATCTCCTGCGGGAGGCGGAACAGCAGGGACTGCGTCTGCATCACCATTGTAGCCTTCAATGAAGGCAGCTGACAAAGCAAGGAAAATAATATAAATACGACACTTCTAAGGTCTCAGTGAAAGCCTAGCTAGTTAGCAGATCCCTGCCATGTAAAGCATTATCACTTCTGCATCTTCAGACTAGTGCTAAAAACACAGTAACATCTAAAAGGAGGTCTAAATTCTGGAAACTGGTAACACTGAATACTGCACGGGAGCTAACCAGTCCCCTTAAGTCTAACAAACCTTTCTATGGCTTCACATAGCTCACACGATTCATCTAGTTATGCGAATAGAGGAAGTTAAAAAACAACAGCTACATGGAAAGACCAAGAGCATCGGTGTCAGCACTAGTAAGACAGCGTGCTGTAAATACACCGTCACTTCTGGGGTTCCAGTGGTGTACTGTGAATGAAACACATCTCAACACTCAGTAAAGCTCTGTTTGCTACACAGGCTAAGGCAAAGCAGCAATCTTCATTCTGAGATGCTGAATTAAGCAAATGCACAGAGAGGGGGGAAAGGGGAGATTGCCTAAACGTTTCCTGTTACAATTTGTACCTGTCTGCTGCGAGTCTTCCTGCTTTGTAGCGTGACCTGGCCTCTGAAAGACAGACTCAAAGATGCTTGCTGGTGAGATTGTGCTAAGGTCTTGTCCATGTTTCTGGGGAAGAGAGAAGAAAGAGGAAGACATCAGATAACACTGTCACAGGTCTCCATAAGCTTTGCACAGATCCCAGTCAGGTAGCACACCAATATCAGAAAGATCTGTTCAATTAATCAGCTACTTTCTGGAAAGGCAATATATTTTATGTATCACCATAAAACGTAAAAGATTACTCTTGTACTCTTGTTATTTTACTGCCCATTATAAAATTAACCGACAAAATGAGGCAAATCTTACAAAAACAAATAAGGTTTTTAAGAGTAAAAAAGCCGTAAAAGATTACTCTTGTACTCTTGTTTTTTTTACTGCCCATTATAAAATGAGGCAAATCTTACAAAAATAAATAAGGTTTTTAAAAGTAAAAAGTCTCCTGCAGCTGTGCTTTGTTTAACCCTTATTTCTCACAATATTCTGTTAGAAACAAAAACATATCTTAATTAGGTCTCGATCATTTACAAAACTATTTCTGGAGCAGTAACCAAGTAGCTCTGCTTAGATTACATCCTTGATTCTGCACTATGGTCATCCACGCTGCTCTAGGACAGAATTTGTCAAAAAGCTCTGTATGTTGCCTCCCCACTGAAGCACTAAATGGAGCCACAGCATAGTTTTCCTCCATATAAAATTGAAGTTCGCAATAAGCAAGAATATTTTTATGGTAAAAATCAGGTGCAGAAGCTTTAATAATAGTTTTAAAACACTGCATATTTTGGAAAAAAATGACCCCCCCCATTTCACACTGTTATCCTGCTTTAAGACTTTGGAGTGATTTTCAACAAAAAGCCAAAGCTCTGCACTAAAAATGCCAACAAAGTGCAATTACTTCCTCAAGAAGCACTTCAAGTACTTACAGGTTTATTTGTAGCTTGCAGAAAGGAGCAATCTATTTAAATAACACCTGGAGGCTAATCTCGAATAGACTAATTAGACGACTGTGTCGCATATCAATTTATTCTGTATAAAATGACACAGGGACAAGCTTGCCAAGCTCAGGATGAACATGCAAAAGCTTCCCAGCAAAGTACAAGAAACAGCTGGTTACCCACTTGCTGCACCTGATCAGCTAGTCCTGATCTGACAGCTCAGGGCCCATCACAGCTGCATCTGACTTCCTCGAGATTTTACATAAAGACAGGTATATGCATATGCTGTAGAATAATGTAATGTATCATTTGCCCACAGTATTCTCTCAAAACCAAGTCATTCTGACCTCAAATATTAGAATGACAGAACTATTTAGGCAGGGGACAGTTTTACTCTAACACAAGCTAGAGGAACATAGGCCACAGAAAGTTAAATTCATGTATGCTACTATCAAGAGTCCAAGCCACAAGTATTGCTTGAACATTCCAAAAAAAACAGCAACAATATGCCACACTGGCAGACCATGAAATTCAAGCATCGAGTACTCAGCTGGGTGTGTAAGGAACAAATATTTGTCAAGAGATAGTCCTGCAGCCTGCTGCACAGACAAGGGAAAAATAGTGTTCAGTGCATCTACAACACTCCAATCCTACATCTTCTTTTCCAGCAAATGAAAGCTTGAAGGAGAGAATGCTGGAAAAGAGAAGGAAAAAGCAACAACTAGTCATGCAGATCTAATTTTCTGTGTTCTCGTGGACAGGATAAGCACATGATTAGAAAAAAATACAGCTCAAATAACAGGTAAACTCACTGGATTAGAGTTCTCCCGCAATTCTGAATCTGTGGATATGAGGCTTAGGTCACTCAGACAAAGCGAGTGGCTTGTATCCTGCAAGAAAAAAAGAAAAGGAAATGAAGTTTATATATATAAATACATATAAAAAATGTTTATAAAGAAGTATTACTGGCCATACAACATAAACTAAGCTATTCTATCTAAACAAATTTTTAAAACCTATATTTTTCAATTTGAAAATCACAAGAACAATATTATTAAACAAAGGATATTTAGTAGTTATCACAGTTTCTTAACACTTCTCATTTATCCAAAAAAGTAACCTAGAACTTTCAAATACTACCCGAGCAAGTGAGCCCAGACATTAAAATTAATGTGATTAAAATAAACCAATTTAGATAAACATTTTAAGCAAGACTAAATAATTGAGTTTCATGCTAGAAGTTGAGTTTTAGAAGAATTGACACAATTCCAAACCAAATTATTTCTAAACTGTACTAGAGTAGGGTTTTATCTTTATTATGACATAAAAGCATTAGGAAGAAGAGCTACTAACCTCAGATACATTGTTATTGGGAAGTGCATTATAGGCATGTCCTTTCTCATGACCTTTCATGTGGCTCTTGAGACTATACTGCGTACTGAAAGTCTTCTCACAGCCATTACTGGGACAGAAGAAGGGTTTCTCCCCTACACACAGCACAAAATATGAAGAACAGACTTAGGAGCTTACAGGGTATACATATTTTAACACACCCAGGACAACAGTGACATTCTAGGCAAATAAAGATTGCTTTTTTCCCAAATGCAACTCTGATTACTAGAAAAAAATTAAAACTTCAATACAGTTAAGTATATTCTAACTCTTCTTGCCCTAGAGAACATAGTTTAATAAAGCGAAAGAAAAAAAATAGCATTTGCCTTTTATACAGATGCAGATCATGATACAAATTGCTACTTACAGGCAAGCTAGTAGCAGTAACATCTAATTGAAAGAATATTTCCTTAGCTGACAGGAGAACAGAGCATTTAAGTTTTATGTATCAACATTTAAGTCTTACATATTGTTACTGATACATTCGTGAAATATGCTGAAATTCAAGATCTGGAAGGGACTTTTATCTGTGGAGTCTCAGCTGAAACATGAGCTGTGTTTTTGATCATGCACTCATTTTTGTACATTATCAGGTTGTTTGATACAGCGCCTGGGAGGGAGGAATGGGGCAGGATTTATTCCTAAGAACATCCATGAAAGTTTAACAGCTGATACACTGTCTTGCTACCTTTTCTATTTGAGTAGTCTTACTTAACAGTCCAGAATGTATTGCATCACTTAAAGATAAAAAGAAACAGTGCTAAAAGCTCTAAGATATCCTTCCTAGGTTGCTTTTTTATGTAAGTATGTATCAGGGTTCTGAAAGTTAGTATAAACTGAATAGGCTCAATTAAAGCAAAGAAATAATCCCTTGGGACTTACCAGTATGTGTCCTAACATGTGTTTTAAGGTGGTGGCTTGCAGCAAAAGCCTTTCCGCAGCCGTCATGCTCACACCTGAATGAAGCATCAGGGAAGGGTCAGCATCAAACTTCTCTGGTGCATTAATTACAACCCTACACTGTGCTTTCCATAAGACACAGGACTAAAACATAGGCCCAAAGTAATCAAGTACCACCCAACAGCAAAAAGCATGCTCAAATGCTAGCCTCCATCATTCCTTTTCCACCAGTGAGGATTGCTTTTCACTAAGCACAGTAATTATTGCCTTTTAGTGCAGTGTTCCAATACAGAATGTCTCACAGAAGTAAAAAATGCCATCCAACAACTCACCGAAATGGCTTTTCTCCTGTGTGTGTCCGAATGTGCTTCCTCAAGTCACTGTGCGTTGTGAAGTATTTACTGCAGCCCTCTGATTCACAGTTAAATGTTTTCCCCGTGTGAAGCCTCTGATGTGCTTTCAACCTAAAAACCATTGCACAAAAACCCCTCTGACTGCTTGTCCCCAAAGAGAGCCCCCAGCTGGGACAAGCAAGCCATTCATTCCAACGTGCAGGGCGGGAACAAAGGTTTAACATGTTCTGAGCACAAGGTAATTTGCTTCTGAAACTAAATGGTATCACTTCCAAAGTCCCCACGTGAACAAATCTAAAAATTCCTTGTGCTAATCCAGCATCTTCAATATTATTGTAATATAAATGGCTAACTATGTTGTTACAGGTTCTGCCACTCTCGCTCGTAGAGTTTTTCCATATATTCTGAGGTTTATATTCCTGTCTGCGCCCAGTTCCATATATTCTGAGGTTTATATTCCTACCTGTGCCCACAGAAAGTATAACACTTGTACCCAGATGCAAACCAGAAGCAGATGTAGCCTGAAGAACAACAGCCACATCACACAAAGGAGACACCAAGAAAATTCCTACCTGTACAGTGTATTGAATGCCTTTTCGCAGCCCTGCACGTCACATTCAAAGGGCTTTTCCTTAGTGTGCACACGAACGTGGATTTTGAGACTATAGGAGGTAAGAAAGGCTTTGCCACAACCTTCTTGATTGCAAACAAAAGTGTATTCCCCACGATGTGTCTTTTGGTGAGTGCGCAGGTTTCCAGCAGTGCTATATGTGCGTGGACAGCCCTCAAAGGTGCACTGGTATCTCTTAACCTAGGAGAAAAATCCAGTGTACTGAAGGTTTTATAAGCATTTTTAGATAGGGATGAACACCAGTTACATATCAAAGACAACACGTCAGGCTCTGATGCCACAGGCATTAAAAAAAAATAATAATAACAATCAATTACCAGACTACTCGGTGTTTCTGCTGCACTATGTAAGGAAGAGGGCACCTTTGGGAAAGCAGACAGCTACCTGGCTTACCTTATGAAAGGATGGGAATCTAATAGAAGAAGAGAGAAAAAGGAAAACAACTCAAAATACATGCACCTAACTGACTATCTGACAGAACCGAGTTGAAAAAGACCTTAAAAGGCTACGTATCACAACCACTTTCCCCATCTTTAGCACTTGCACTTCACTCTGACACTTGCAGCAGTGCTAATATATATGAACAAAAACATGTTACTTCCCAATTTGACCCTCCAAAGCAATGACCCGAGTGCTGAATTCCTATTGGCACCCTGAAGTGCACTGCAGTTTTCAACCTCTCCTACAGTCTAACCACCAATCCACTTACAATTTAGTTTTATTTCAAAAACAGCTGTTATGTGCTTTGGTCTTCCCTTCTCTGTTCACTTTACGCAGTGTGTTAAGTGCAATGTATTGAGCAAGGTGTGTTAACTTAAAAGATAAGTAGTAAATATTTCTCAGCCAGCTCTCTAGATCACTGAAAAACTTTGATATTGAATTAGATTTGATAACTTTCCACCTTCTGCAACGGGCAGAAAGAGATCATGTAAGAAGCTTCCAGCATGCAAATCGTAATGCTTAATTAAATCTTATTCTCTCCTGCGAGGCATAAGGAAGAAGCCATCTGATATGCTTGAATAAATTTATCTCCAACATTAATTATTAGACAGACAGCTTGCATTTAACTGCTGCAGCTGGGAAACCTTAACATCTAAAGATGATTACAGAGCCCAGGAGAGCGCTGCATGGTTGACAGTGTGTTCTAGTGTTCTAGTGACTACTCAAGAAAATAATGGGTCAAGTCAGCAACCTTCCTACTTTTCCAACGTACAAACGACCTGTTCCACAGCACACAGGGCTGCTGCTTAGCAAAGGCTATAGACTATCTTATGAAGACACACGTGCAATTGTTGGTTGGTATCAGGATGACTGGGTGAACCTGTACATGACTAAGAGACATTTACGGTTTCTGGACACCCTTAAGAAGAAACTCCCCCACCTCATGAGTCAATACACACTCTTCTCTTTTTGCTTTACACACCCATCAGAAAAAAAAAATCACTAATTTTGACTGACGGGGACTGAGAATGGAATAACAGGGGGTTCCTTGATCTGCTGTTAGATTAAGGCTAAAATCACTTCATTGGAAGTGATGCAAGTGTCAGAGTAATTAGAAGCTGTATGAATGTGATAAACAGAAGTTATCAACACCAGAAAACACATCAACCTTGGCATGGCTAGTTTAGAACCGAGTACTTCTGTAGTCCTTCCAAAACATAGGTAATGCGATTAATGCCTTGTATAATACTGCATAAATAAAAGTAGTAATGAGTCTTTAATAAAAATCACTGAGACCTAAAAGTGAACTTTAAAGCACACCTGTTTCTTGCCCAAGAATTGCCTCGCATTCATGTACTACCATAGCAAAAATACAGACAGTTTAAGATATGTGGAACACACTTTCTTTTTATGTTAACATTTGTAGAATTGCCTCGCATTCATGTACTACCACAGCAAAAATACAGACAGTTAAGATATGTGGAACACACTTTTTTATGTTGACATTTGCTGGAACAGTTGAAGATCTTGCCAGTGGTGCAAGAACCAAATGAAGCCACAAGCTCCTGGGTTTTGCTTTTCAAATAGTCAATTTAGCAGCCTGCAATGCCACCAGTTGGGTCACAAGTGACTATCATTTCCATATGATTATGCCTACCAGAACCTGCATGAGGTACTAGACACGAGACACCCAGAGAGATATTTCACCACGTGCTTTGACTCGGAACACAAGTAACCGGTGGCAGCTTTCATCTTGGCCAGCACTAGATTCAATTCCTGTCTCCTTATATACAATTTTTCTCCATTTGCACAACAACCTCATTGTGAAACACTAAACCCACTTCTTCCTGTATCATATTTATAACACTCTGTATTTCACCTTTTCGATATACACTAGTTAGCCAGTCTCTCTTAAGTAGATAAAAGATTATGTTATTAGTATGAGAACATGTATGAACACATGTACTTGGACTCATGACTTGACAGGTACCATGAAGCTCACAGAAGAGAGCACATCCTTCCTACGCCTTCCTCCTCCTCCTCCCCAAGGCTTGCTATAAAGCATATAACTTACCACAGAGCTCCTAGTCAAGAAACACTCGTGATCAAAAAGTAACAGGGGTGATTTCCTGCACCAAAATCAGGTATTAAAGTGAGTGTCTAGTTCTCTCTTTAGGCTAGGTAAAGTTACCAACAAAAATATCCAAGCAATACACAGATTTCATGGAGTAATGCAGGAAAATTAACAACGCACTAGCCTTTAAAGACAGAAAGCACTTAACAAGAATAATGATTGAAAGCACTTAAGGTGATTGGGCCAAAGACTCCATATAACGCATAAAATTTAGAATTAAATTTATACTTACTTCTTTAAGCTTGGTTTCTGGGCATTCAGACTGTAAAGTGAGTGTAGCGCCTTCAATATTTCTTGGCATAGGAGTTGAACCAGGATTTATAGTTAGATGAATCTGATCCGGAGAAATGATGTGTTGCACGTAACCCTGGGACATTCCTTCATGGTCTGCTATCAAATGAAACCCTTCCTCGTGGCCCTCGGGCAGGAAGGGCAGGTGCTCCCCGCACTGCCCTTCCTCCTCGTCGTCCTCCAGCGGGCCGGGGTCCTGCTCGATGAGCACCGTGGTCCTGTCGTAGACCGTGCCCGCGGCGGGCGGCAGCAGCCCGTTGCTGTCGCCGAAGCGCAGCAGGCCGCCGCGGCCCAGCTCATCGTCCTCCGCCTCGTAGTAGGCGGCGCTGCCCTCCGGG